TGCTGAGCAGTTAATGAATGATAAATGCCAGAAGGACATTTCACAAGCTGAAAGTTTTGCATTGAAACAAGGTCAACAATGTGTCTTAACAATAGTACAACACTTAATGTCTAAATGTCCAATAAATTATTCTCTTATTCGAAATGCATCTTGTATCGACCCACGATTGAAAAAGCCCAGAACAAAATGAAAAGTTCTAACGGTATTAATGCAGAATAAACGTGTTTTACAAGATGATTGGGATGAAATTCTGCTGCAGTTTGGAGAGTTTCTAGTTAAGACAAATTTACATGAATTTTCTACTTTTGATCCTCAAAATCTTTCTCTTGACACATTTCTCACTTCTTATTTTCATGATTTTCACTATTCAAAAGTATGGAAAATAGTGAAAATGATTCTTATCTTGTCACATGGACAGGCCTCTGTGGAAAGGGGCTTCTCTGTAAATAAAGCAATTGAAATTGAAAATTTAAGTGACTCATCATACATTTTTCAATGCACAGTATTTGATTACATAAAATTTTCTGGAGTTGTTCTTAATATCGAAATTAATAAAGAAATGAGATCAGCAGCAGCTTCTGCAAGGTCTAAATATATGCAGTATTTAGAAGAACAAAAATCTTTAACTAAATCTGAAAATTCAAAGAGGAAAAGAAATATCATTGAGGAAGAAATTGATTATATATGAAGCAGAAGAAAAAATTTCTTCAAAGGAAATTAAATTAAAGATATTAATGAAGAAGTAGATGCTTTAGCAGATGAAGCTGAGACCAGCATGAACATTGATTTGTTTATCAAAGCAAATGAACTTAGAAGAATAGTTAAAGAAAAGGAAATAGACATAAATAAATTAGATGTTAAAATAGCTGAAAAGATTTCAGATTTAAAAAAAGCACAAATGTTTTGTATCTTTTATTGTATAGTTTATTATTCTAGTATCTTTCAAAAAACCAAGGAAATAAATTGTATGTTTACAAATCAGTTATTTTAATCTGCAAAATATTCTTACATTGTGATTATAATAGTAGTTGACTGTGTTTAAATAAATATCAAATAATAATCATGTAAATCTCTAAAATAGTGACTGTTATTAGTGTAAAAATACACTTATACATGTTTTTAAAGAAATTATGTTCCTAATTTAATGTTATCTACTTCATAACTTGTAGGGAGTTAGTTTAATTTTCAAAATTGTTTTATGGTAAGTATTAAAGTGAATTTAATAATAGTGCATAATACACACTTCTGTTAGTTTCTTAAAGTGAAATTACAAGCATGAAGTCGGTTGTATGGATAATTGCTTTATTCTATTTGTTTTTTTGTTTGCTGATAGGTCCTTAATTTTTTCTTTGATGGTCCTTAAAAGTCCTTAATTTTCATGTAAGGAAATGTGTACGAACCCTGGAACCCACGTGCAGCCATAGAACATGTACGAGATTTGCCCAATGTGTTTTGTGCAATAACCCGATCAACTGTTTACGGCCCATTCTTCTTTGATGGAAACACGGTTAACGGTCAGTAGTATCTCGCTATGTTACAAAATTGGTTGTTTCTGAGGCTGTACGAACTTCTTCACAACTTCCGAGGCTGCACAACTTCATTTTTCAACAAGACGGAGCACCTTCTCACTGGTATCGCCAAGTGCGTGATTATCTGAATGAAACTGTACCGAACTGTTGGATTAGTCATAAAGGAGATGGCGATTTAGCATGTCTCAGCTGGCCTCCACAGTTACCAGATTTGACACTTTGTGACTTCTTCCTGTGAAGTTACATTAAAGACAACGTTTATATACCACCACTTCCACAGAACATGGAAGAGGTGAAGAATTGGATCCATACTGCAACAGCATCAGTGACGACAGACATGCTTGACCCAAGTATGGGAGGAATTTAAGTTTTGATGTGATATTGTTCATGTCGCTGATGGAGGACGTATTGAACATCTGTAATATCTGTAATCTGAACTTGAGAGGTTTGTACATATGTGTGGAAAGTTCCATATTCGTATGTCATACAGTTTAATAAATATACGCATTTGAAATGCATGTATTCTTTTTGAAACATGCTGTATTTACTTTACAGTATTGACAAAGAATAAGATGCGTTGATTATTTAATCTATCAAACAGTATGTGTTACTACTCCAAAAATAGCCATAAAAGAACCAACTTTATAGTTCTGCTTTACAGAGAGAAACAATAAGATAAAATCTTGAATCATAGTTCTTTGTAAACAAGTTTAGTCTATGAAAATGATTACAAGTGTAAAGTAAACTTCAATACATTAGTTCTAATAATAGATTTTAATATTAGAAAACAATATTATGAAACCTCAGCACTTTTGAAAATAAATTAATGTTATTATTTCATATTTAATTCAGCTGAGTTGTTTAAAATAATGGAATGGAAAGTAATTGCTATGCGTATGCAGATGATATGATGCTAATTAGAAGATTGATTCAACAAGCCTGGTAAATACAGTACAGTCAAAAGTCTTTAATCCAGACTCGTCGGGACTTCGTCGATTTTGGATAATCGGTTTTTCCGGATTATAGATCATCAATTTAAATCTGGTAAGATGGCATTCAGAAATTATAAGATTCAAAATATGAAACCGTAATTTATGAAATAAAGAGCAATTATGATCTAAAGGGTATCAAAATTTACAAAAAAAAAAAGCTTAATATTTATTTGTTTACTTTAGTAAACATTTCTTTCAACGCGCGCATGCATAAAGCATACATTACACATAGTCGAAATTAGAAAATTGCAACCAGAAAACTATTTGATGTGTATTCGTGATATTTACAATGACGAGGAATTTGATTTAAATCATATCAAAGATGGAGTACATCGAGATGAAATACTACATATAGTAAGGAATTATAAGCCAAATAAAATAAAAACATCTGCTCTGAAGAGGAGGATAGTGCTGACAGATCAACTTCCAGTTCATTGCGCGCCGCGATGTTGTCCCCCCCCCTCCGCAGAGCAGTGTGAAATTGATAAACAGATTTCAGAATGGTTAGAGAAACAAATCACCTCTCTGTCACTTTCTTCATGCCTTTATCCATTTTTTGCAGCAATTCCACTTTTTTGTTTACATCATCGAACATGCTTTCGCTTTGTAGCTCCAGAATTGGAAACTCTTTTTGACATAATCGAACGTTCAAGCTTACTTTTTATAAAATTGCTCTAACAGTCTGCAAAAAATAATAAGCCGGATCCAATTAGAAGATTAAGGAACAACTCAATCTGCAACATTAACTGAAATAGATAATTAGATAATTTTAGCTTAGATCCGGATTGTAGATCATTTCAGATTATGGACGTCCGGATTAAAGACTTTTGACTGTATTCAGTATTTTCTGCTTATTTATCAAACAGTAGAGCCATAGCAATCTTGAAAATTTTTAATATTGCTTTGCACATATTTTGAATTGTGTTATTAACATATTCACTACCAACCAAGATTTTAGAAACTTTAACAAAAGCCTTTATCATATTTTTCAAAACTACATGAAAACAGTATTTTATAATCACCTGTTCAATTGTTAACTTTTGATTTCACATATAGGGCAAATACAATCAAAAAAAGCATGTATCAAAGAAATCTGATTGCAATAGGGAACAAAATAAATGTGTATTTATATAATTTTGCTGCTTATTGTATTGACACTGTGCTGCATCAAACATAAACTGACAGGTGCATGGCCGAGAAGAAAGGTATGAAAGATCAATGGAAATCGAAGAGAGCAGAGAATGAAAGTAGTACTTATGAATATACTTTTAAATTGTTAGGAATGGTGCTAATAAAATTATGTTATTTATTAAAATATATTTTAATGCATTCTTTTTTTAAAATATATTTTTAGTATTTTGGATTTGAAAGTTCACATAGTTTTATTATGAAAAATTTTTGACTTGTTATTAACTAATGTGGCACCCCTTCTACTTATTCACTTGAGGCAAGTGCCTCACTTGCTTCGTCCTTGTCCTGACTTTGTTATTTACCTAAGTTTGTACATCATTTCTTTAAAGTCAGTGTGCAACAATACACCAGTGACAGCATTCTTCTCACTGCTGAAATGTAGCTTCAAAGTCTTTTTGCATAAGCCAGTCCATATCCTCTCATGATTTTTACACTGTGCTAGCAGCACTGTGAAAACAGCAACTTTTCAACTAGATTTTCATCTCTGAAAAAAGGAAAAACTCAACAGTAGCTAAAACTAGTGAGTAGGTAAATAAATGCAAAAGTGATAACACTTTGTAATTGATGAAAAACTCATGGGTACATGTTGATACAATTCATTGTTGTCACAGAGAATCCAATTTTCTACATATTGCAGACCCTGGATTGCTTTTCTGTTCTGCTGAATGTTTTTCTCAGATACTACAGAACTTCCCAGTAAAATTTCATATTAATTGCCTGGCCTCTTGGGACAAATTTGCAATGGAAAATGCTACAAATATTAAAAACACATTGAGTATGGTTGTCTTGTGTGCTAAAATTTTAGAGATATAAAAAAATGTGATTCATAATTTGTGCATACAATTAATTTTTTGATAATTACAATAATTGAAAATGTTTTGAGTTACATTAATAACAATAATATGATATTACATAAATGAAGGCAATGGATAAATTGACTTTAAGTTCCAAAAAAAAAAAAAGGTTTCACAGTCACCTTAAGGACTTCTGAAAATGATCAGTGCTTTTGAAACCATAATTAAATAACAAAATTTAATGTTACCAGTAATCATATTTTGTAAGGTAACCACCACTACCGTGGAAGACTAAAATTGTGTAAAGCCATGATAGATGTGTTAGAAATGTTTATTTGTGTAAGTTAAATAACAAAGTGCAAAAATTTGGTTGATTGTATATAAACCACTAAAATGAGAAATGAAGTGGTTTTTGCTAAGAATGATTTTTCTTTATGTTTAAAATTATTTCTATATATGCATTTTAACTTATTTCCAATTAATTGGCAATGCAGGTTAAAGCACCATGGATTAAACATTTTTACTATGGTGATGAAGTTTATGTATTGCCTGGGTAAGTATTGCTTCATTAGATAATCATTTATTTTATTTTTTTATTTTTTTAATATTATTTTTTTCCCAAAATGTTAAAAAAAAAAAAAAAAAAAAAAAAAAAAAAAAAAAAAAAAAACAGCTTAATTTTAAAAAAAGATATGTGATGATATTATAAAGTTTCTAGACTATTTAAGCACAAGCTTACCTTATTTAAATTTAATTATTGTGTTATTCAAAATAGTCCCCATGGAAAGCAGAATGTGATGCCAGTCCTCTTTCATGCTTCAAAAACACAGCAAAAGTATGCTTCCCAAAGATAGTCCCAACACCATGTACACTTTATTAGTATGAAAGCTATTTTCTTCAGTTCCATTTTAGAAAATAATGCACCATCATAAGAGTGCAGGGTGTACTGGATTCGTATTAATGTTGCTTTCCTCTGTAAAATCTGAAATATTTTGAAGAAATAATTTAGCGCAATGTAATGGTACACAAATGGATTCAGTCCTAATACCATTGTATAAACATGTAATTTACAGGTGCAAGTTGAATGCCAACACGCGGCCATGGAAGTAGGTATATTCAGTGTTCGTACGGTCCTTAAGAGTCCTTAAATGTTTTGAAATCGATTTTTGGTCCTTAAAAGTCCTTAATTTTGGCCAAAATCAGTAGAAGTCCTTAATTTTAATCATCTGAAATTTCTGTCTGTTTTTACAACTGCCAGTTTGAGTGTGAATTAGCATTTGGGGGGAATATTTTTGGCGATTCACTGACGTATATGGTTATCTTTTGAATGGGTTCATGGGTTATATTTTGTTTCTATTTCTGATGATAGGATACTCAAGTTTCTAAACAAAAAGTGAAACATAAGCATTTCAAAATTTATTTTTTTCTAATAAAGAGCTCTTAAACAACTTTTCGCTTTTGGGGTTGTGAATTCTTTTTTTAATGGTTCTAAATTTGACAACTTGTCAACATTTTGGCGATTTTTAAGATCAGTTTTTATAGAAAATTTTTAATTCCGAGATCTGAAAATTTTTCGGCGATTTTTTTTTAAGCATCATAACATTGTTCATAACTGTTCTTATTTGATATAACATTGATTATAAAATGACATGACATAAAATATTTGATAACATTTAATAATGATTTGACATAAAATTTATCATAACATTGATAAATTTCATTAAAATAATGGTAATATATTAGAATTATATTTAAAAAAATAACATTAAAATAAAACATTTTTATTTTTTGATGTCATATTATAAAGTTTCATTTTGGCAACTTATTATACAATATTTTAAATCTGAAAAATAAACAAGGTATCAATCAGCAGATCTCTCTATAGACAAGCAGTAGAGGGACAACATTTAGTCTTTTGTTATGAATCATGCTGATTTACGAAACAGCTCTTAGTAAAAACAAAATTAGCTATGTAATTAATTAAAATGTCTTCTTTTTAATTTTTTCATAGTAAGCATTTTTCCCATGTAATTGTCTTAAATTATTCAAAATTCTCAGAATATGCATCAGTTTTTTCTATAAAATTAACTTTACACTTTCTCCTTCCCTTTTTTTTTTCAAAATATTTCTGGCTTTTTGCTGTTATAGAATTGGTTGGGATAATTTTTCTTTAGTATTTTTGACATTGCAGCATGGAAAGTTTAGAAGGATTTGAAGGCAAGATTAATAGACCCACGATTCTAGAAGATTCAAGAAATATGTGACAAAATGAAAAATGTTTCCATGGTATCAACATATCAACACGTAATGGATGCATTTTACAGAAAGTTTGCGATGAATTTCTTACTTTTTAGAGAACATCTGAAAGAACAATGGAAACATAATATTTGAATGTTTTACTCCTGATACTAGAATCTTTTTTCTTAACATGTTTATCTTCCCTTTATTTTCTCTACTTTTCACTAGACAAAAGCATGGAAAACATCAAAAATGCTTCCAGTCTTATCACATTGGACAAGTGCCATTGTAGAAAGAGAATTTTTTTATTAAAAAAGAAATTGAAAACTATCCAATATAAAAAAGATCATTGCATGTCTTAAATGTATCGTACACAGAGCTGGTGCACTAGGCATTTCCCCACCTTAATGCAATCTCTGTAGATACCTAAATTCTGCTGCCTAGTGCCCTAGCTAAATTCTTGCTTCCAATGCCTGCTTGTAAATTCTAAAAGTTTTGCCATTTCTAGATTTTGTTGTTCTGTGTGTGTCACTAAATTCTAAAAATTTTGCCACACCAGCTCTGTAACCGGCCTTTACTATATATATTTCATATTTCTTCTGAATGTTCATATTACTAAAGAAATAAAATTAGTCACTTTTTCTGTATATTCTAAATGCATTTAATGTTTTTTAGAAAAATATAAATCCTTAATTAAATCCAAAAATTCTAAAATGAAAAGGAAACACATTGAAGAAAGAAACCAAATACATAAAGAAAATTATTCTTCAAAGATATGTGCAGTTATTATTATGTAAATTACCCAATTGTTTATGATTTCAGCCTTTACTATAACTTCCCATTTCTGTTTCCTCATATGATAGAGTTACTGAGCCAGATTAAATTTAAATTAAATTGTATAATCTTTGACCACTAGTCCATGTTTTTAGTTTGAATTTGACTGTTCTTGTTTAATTACGTCACCGTGAGCTGTAATTGACTTTCTTAGCATCAGAACATGCCTTAATGTTCTAAGTTCTTTGTCTGATATTGTAGTTACTTTCAGACATAGTGATAATTTGCTTCATGCCTATCGGGTGGGTTTGGGATTATTTAACTTTTACCCGATCAAGTAACCCTCATAGGTACATTGTGGAGAGTTGACAAGTTAGGAGATAAAGCACAGAGAAACTAGCGAGAACATTGGTTTGCATATTGAGACAAATTTCTAATTATTGTCAAAAAAATCAATAATTAAAGAGAAGGAAATCAATATAAACTATCCAAAATGTTTGGGAAGCCTTGTAGAAACATTAGGTGTTTTTGAAAGCAGGAAAGATGAAAAATTAACAATGCCTTCGCTGGGAATTGAACAAGCGGACCTCTGGAATACCACCACTACACGAAGGCTCGCCAAGAAAGTAGGAGAAATACCTTATAGACTTCAAATTAAAATGACGAATAAATATTTTGTTGAGTGTTGTATGTGTATTCAAATATTGTTTAAGAATCAGTGTCATAAATTACATGTATTTTAAACTGCGAAATTTTATTAGATTTTGATTTTAATAGGGCTTTTTTAACAGATATTGTTAAAAAATAAAATTTAATAGTGGCCATGTAAATCCATAATGACTAAGGTTATCTAATTACCTAACTTAATTATTTATAACTAACTACTTACCCTTAAAAATTATCTCTACATATTAAAGCGAGTTATTGCCTTTCATTAATACAGTCAAAAGTCGTTAATCCGGACTCGTCGGGATTTCGGATTATCGATTTTTCCGGACTATATAGATCATCAGTTTAAATCGCATAAGATGCCATGCAGAAATTCTAAAATTAAAAATATGAAACCGTAATTTATGAAATAAAGAACAATTATGATCTAAAGGGTATCAAAATTTTAAAAAAAAAGCTTAATATTTATTTGTTTACTTATTAAACCTTTCTTTCGATGTAAGTTGTTTAGTTGCTTCGTTTTATGTGATAATAATTTCTCTTTAATTCTATAAACAGACATAATTTTTGTTGAGTTACAAAGTTCGCTGTTCAAGTCCCGTTAATTGCGTGCCGAGAATACCGACTAACTTGTCAATCGAAATTTTTTGTTTTTCACTAACCTGTCTGTCAATTCTTCATGTCTTTATCCATTTTTTGCAGCAATTCACTTTTTGTTTGATGGACATCGAAACATAACTTTGTTTTGTAGATCCTTTGGGAGCTCCAGCTCTGAAATTCATTTGAATAATCGAAAGTTCAACCTTACTTTTAAAATTGCTCTAACAACAGTGCTGCAAAAATAAATAACCGGATCATTCGAAGAAGGAACAACGCATCTGCAAAAATTACTGAAAGATAATTAATATAATTAGCTATACCATTCGTTATACATTAAACGTGCATGCGTAAACATATTAGTCGCATGCGCAAACGTATTATGCGCATGCGCACACGCATATGTGCAGCCGTAAAGGGTACACGCATATGCGCATGCGTCAACGAGATGCATGCGCACAAAGTTTGTATCTTTGAGGTCCGAATTAATGACTTTTGACAGTACTGCCTTAAGATTTATAAAGGACGCAACAGTGTTTAGTCCCTCTTCAATGGCTATAAGCTCATTTTTAAAAACCGAACTGAAGTCAGAATTTCTTTTCTTTATTTTAACAATATTTCTATTTGTGCTTTTAATGACAACTCCACTACCGGAACGAGAGTCTCGCTTTTCTCCCCTCAGTATAGATAAGGGTATCTTCAGCGGGAATTCTGTGTATAGTTTCTAAGACAGATTGTCGTAACAGGGCCAGAATATAATTTTTCTTGGAAACTCGAGACAAAAGTTCCGTATGAAACTCGACTCTAGGGAGTCCCTCAGATGGATCTAAACATTGTTTCAAGGAATGCTGCTCAACATTACGGTCAATTATACCAGCGTACTCAGTTTGACTGAGTGGGCTATTTTTCTTAAGTCTTATACTCCAGTGCTGCAGGTTATTACTCCAGTGCTGCGGGAATTATGAAGTTCTATTTTGGGAGCCATAACTGAAAATTTATATAACGTTGCAAGGCCAGCATTTCTTCTTAGGCTAAGGGGTTGAAGGTCTGTTTCATACAATGCAGTTTTATTCGGGCAACTATTGCGTAAGCCAGTTATAATACGAGAAGCACTAAGTTGCACTCTTTCCAATTTCTGGAGGTTGGTAGAAGAGGCACAGCAGTAAACGGGGAAACCATATTCCAAAATAGGTTGTATGATAGCTGAATAAGTAGTTCTCAAAGTGCAGGCATCGACTCCCCAATCACGTCCCGAGATAGTTTTCTGCCCCTAAA